CAAGTATAATTTTTTAGTACACGTACTAAGCAGACAACTTCAGACACGATTAGTAAAAAGAAAAAATTCTTCAAAAATAGTTCATTAAAATTCTGTCGTCAGGTCCCGGTTGCCGATGGCGAATAATAATTAAGTTGTAGTGTAGCCTGATGACATTGGCTCTTTACCGAGTTTTTTGATGGATTATTGCATCTCTATATATCACATGTGTGGGGACAGTTATTTTAGCGTTTGATAGCTACGATGCAACGCAATAATAGTCACTATGACCATAGTGAATCTGTTTTGAATTTGTAAAAAAGCGTTTTGAAAATTTTAAATAATTATTTTTTATTTTAATTCTTTGATTTATAAGCTTGTGAAATATATCTTATATTTGAATAAAGTAATCCAACATTTCTGGATATTGACTTAAGAAATATTAATAGCATAATTTATTTTCATTATATTATATAAATCAAATATATTTCTTTTTAATTTCAGTGTAAAAGTATTCGTGTGGAATTAGAATGTTTCATTTAAAAAAATATATAGAAATAAAACTGCTATAGTACTATTTAAATCGATCTTGATAGTTATGAAAACAAGAAATACATTTCAGCAATTTTTTAGTCGATTTTGATGATTTGAACTTTATTAAAGCATAAAAGTGAAAACACTATTAGAAATTATAGTTTTTAACTAAAAATAAGTTTAGACTTATACATGAAAACGTAATAATGTTATCAAAATAGTCGTTATTGTATAAAAACAATAGAAGTTTTTCTAAAAAGATGTATTAAATAAACCATTATTTTACTTTAATATCAGTTTTACCGCCACTACACAAAGTATCATAATAATACAAGCTGATTGGATATAAGATACAGTAAATAAAAAAAATAACGGAAGAATGTATCATAAGATTTTTACTAATTGATGCAATTGGAAAAATGATTTAATTGAGAAGTTTATCAATTTTTAAAATCGAATACACGTATTTTTGTTTTATTAAATAGATTTAACAAAATATAACAATTTTACAAATATATATATATTACTATTTGGCAGGTATAATATAGTTCAGTTAGCTGAACAATAAACCAATTATGGAATATTGGTCAATAGGCTGTAAGGTGATAATGAATAATTAATAAATGCCGAACATATTACTATTAAGGTAAAACTTTCTATGTATTTTAGTGTCGAGATAAAACAATATTGCCAAACTTGGGTTTTGCGGGACTAACAGCTCTATCTTAATGAGGGTAATTACTTGCAAATTTAATACCAATTCAAATCCGTGACTACATGCAAACATGTTCATGGCTATTGCGTTTTTTAAGCTAATATCATTTTATTATACAATTTAAGCACTTATGAGTAAAATGAAAAAAGTCGTTGTCACAGTATTAAAATGGTAATCAGATAGCCCTATTGTTTGAAGACAACAGAAAAATCATATAATATCATTTTAAATAGCTAGTTATGTAATTATCGTATCTTAATTGTTTTTTGGCGAGTCAAGATTCTCTTGGTAACTAAAAACTGTGTCAAACTTTTACCCTCTTAGCTAAACCAAAGTAAACGTGTTTGCTGTGTAGTAGTAATTGTCGATGGAACGTCGTATGGATAGTCGTAACTTTTCCATCACAACATTTACTAAATACGTTCAATATGGTAATTTGCGGACGGATTTCAATTATTATTATTATTGTTATTTGCCCGAAACCATAATTTCTTAACGCTAAACTTTATCAATCAATTTAAATAATAATTAGTAGTACTTTGATTCATTTAGAGCAGAATACTTCATTTTAAACCCAAAGGCCATAAAAGTATTTAATTCTACTGAGGAAATTCTCAAAATACTTAAGTGAACACTTACAAGCTACATTTTCACCGATAATGATATTTTAACTTACACACTAATAACTTTTATATTCACTTATAAATTTTTAATTTTATATAAATTTTATAAATATTATTCTAACATTTTTAGTACGTGTAAATAAATATGTACAATGTACTATTTTATTTTAAACAATGACCGATTTTTTTTTTGGCGGCAACGGATGTATCTCATCGCCTCTCGCGACACGGAAACCTACTCGTCTCCAAAACAAGAGTTCCTTAGGCTCTTGTTACCTTTCTTTCATCTTTTTATATTTCCTGCTTTCCGGATGTAGGCTATTTAGAGACGAATTGCCCCTTTTCACTGACTTCCACGAGGTAGAAGTGGTCACATTCAAGGCGACAGTGAGATGATTTTGGTAGTCTTTCTAAAATAACCAATAACTGATTATTTTTTTGCAAACAGGATAAAAAATTCATCGAAAATTTATTCAAATAACAAAAATATTTGATTGATATAACAAAAAAGAAAATCGTCCACTGTATTTTATTTTTAGATAAAAATTATACCATAGATATAAACTATAATTAAAAATATAACTATATTTACTTTAATCTTAATGAGTTTTATTTATAGCAAAAAAAGATCCAATATTATTGAGACAAATCAAAACGGGCAATATTAAAAAAATCTAGATAATAATTTAAATTTTTGTATCTTTATAATAACTGTATTATCTTTTTTCTTAACATGATAATTTTGTAAATGATTATCTAAACGTCATCAAAAATAGTTTTGTTATCTAGATAACAAATATCTAGATATTTTATTAATCTACAATTAAAAAATGTTCAGCAGTACTCAGAATTTAATAATGTTATCTAGAAATTATTTTATCATATTTTGTACATTTCTATATATTATCTTATGATAAAACTATAAATCAAAGGTGTGCTTCCAATATCTTATGATAATATACTCACAAATGTATAAATTTAATTAATATTCCTGTTCATATTTCAATAAAGAGATAAGCAAAAATGCATCGTGGACTTTTTTTGTATAATAACCAATTTTGTATAAAAATTCATGTCATAATTGCTGGAATGTTTTGCAATGTTAATTATACACAAAATAGTTAGCCATTAGTATTGCTAATAATACAAGATAGTAAAACATGATCTTTATTTTTATATTTTTAATAATAATTAATTAATTAACCCTTTAGCAGGGGCGTACCTATTTTTAAGGTTCATAGTCGCGTGGGGGTCTATCAGACCCCATTTCTAAAAACGTATAAAATATGAATAAAAAAGATCATTTATTTTAATTCAAAGACATTATTTGTTACCATATTATATATAAATATGGATAAAAATTCAATAATAAAAATTAAAAAATAAATAAAATACAAAATTATGTGAATTACTAAAAATTATATTACGAAAAAAAAAAAAACTTAATTTTCAAAATTTCATTAAAAAATGTTGGTTTGTAAAAAATTTATTTTAACTGCAAAATCTTATTTTTAAGACGGTAAACGAAAGCTTTTACTATTACAAAATGTATTTTAATTAATTTTTCTTGTATTTCTTTGAGCTCAAACACGGCTTATATTTATTAGTTTTATGTGTATTTACATTTATATAATCATTTTTCTGAATTGAATTTTTTTATTATTAAAATTACAATACATATAATTATTATGATACGAGTACATACAATTATTCTGAATCTGTTGAACATTGATTTTTCTCCCAACAATCTTTGCATACTGTTTATTATACGCGATGTATTTATTACATGTTTTGTTCTTATTTGTTCCGTATCATCGAGTAGTGAAATTCTCAATAGATTATTTATTNATGGAAATTGTCAATAGATTATTTATTTTTAAAACTTAATTGCACAGTCGGAGGCATATCCACATAATTCCAATTCCACAATATTATATCGATTATAACATTGCATTTACGATAAAACGATATTTTGAAAAAAATACAAGTCCAAAAAAAAATTATAACGTTACAAGTCGTGTGGGGGTAAATATGACCCATTTCAATTTTGATGAATATTTTAAGTCAAACATTTTTTTTTCGATTGTTTTTGTTTATGAAAATCGATTCAATATTACTATAAAAACCATCTTCTAAATGTATATCTATGTACACCTTTTATGCAATATAATAAATCAGTTTTTATTTTTGTGGGGGTATGCTAGACCCCCACGCGACTGTTTAAGGGTTAAATTCGCATTAAAAAACAGCTGTTATAAAAAAGTTGTCGCAATTTTAAAATGCAAAAAAAATGTATTCATTCTTTTCATTTTTTACGGCTACCTAATTTTGCGATATTTCTTTAAATATCTAAATTCAATTGAATTTTTTTAATTTTTAAAAAGCTATCTTCGACTAAATCAAATTTAGTTATTTTATGTTTTTGATCAGAAAAATTGGTCCAGTGAGAGCTGAGAATTTTTATGGGTAGACACAAAATAAATATACTATATGATAAATATAATACCTTCTTAGTATCCCATCGAAAATTATCTGTGCAGTATTTGAAATATATAGGACTGAAAGGGCAACTAGTGAACATACAGGGATTTCATAAAATACATAAAATCTACCTTTGTTACTTTCAGTATATTCATAATTTAAGTCATATTTTTATAAAGTTATGATTGAATGGTAAATAAATATGGTATCCAAATACGATTTAAGAGAAATGTTCAATTAAAACACATCTGTTGATTATTATATAAATTAATTATATACATAATACATTGATTAATTTATAAAAAACGGAAGTTAAAGTTGAACAACCTAAGCTTTAAACATTAGTTAAAACAATTATGCTTGGTTGTCACAATACCCAACCGAAGTCATTACAGCGTTAACATAATACGTTAACAAGACCAACACGTTTTCTAAGATTAATCGATGCTCATATCTCGACATTAAACAAATCTGTCCGGTTTTACTCGTTGTAAGATAAAATTTCTAATTTTCGTGATAAATTTTTTTAGGAATATCTAATAGTGCACTCGAGTGTAGTATAGAATCTGATTAATTGTATAGTTATGAATGGTTTTAAAATTAATTTGATAGTTGAAAAAAAAATCAATTTTTACAATTATTTATTTGATTTACATTTTTTTTTTTAGAAATGTACCAAACTCTGATGCGATGCAACTTCAAGTTGAACAAAGTGTTACAAAGATTGGCTACACATCTTTACAGACGGCCAGTCATAACTCTTCACTAAATTATCGCACAGTGAATATAAACAAGCTGAGTAGTTATGGGCAGCACTACGCTCAGAGATGAAGACCTATCCACAATCATAACGACTACTCAAAAATATGTCAATGTTACTAATATTTACGCAGATGATGGGATTAACTCTTTTTATTTTTACGAAGTAAGCAATTTGTTTTTTGATTTTTAACTGAGTGAATGGAAAAAAAACGTTTACTATTGTGACCCATTACTTTTTATACACTTACTATGAATAAATTNACGTTTACTATTGTGACCCATTTCTTTTTATACACTTACTATGAATAAATTTGTTCTAATTAGAGAAAATTTTTAGAAGTTAAATTTCTAATCATCAACAAATTCTNCGTTTACTATTGTGACCCATTACTTTTTATACACTTACTATGAATAAATTTGTTCTAATTAGAGAAAATTTTTAGAAGTTAAATTTCTAATCATCAACAAATTCTATTAAAAAGCTCTTAACTTAAAATACGAACATTCGTGTGTTTTTATATCCTTTTCATGTTCTGTACCTATTCCCAGTTTTATTCAAAAGGTTATTTCAACTACTTTGCTAAATACTTAAAAATGTTTAATGAATAATAGATTTTAAATTTTATGACTATTTTTACATATTCTACGCTTAAATCAACATTGGCAATGAATAATGTCTTTGACTGTTTTTTTATACATTTATACCATTATTTTATTTCGAAAAAATGTTCACTTTCTGACTACTCAGAATAGCATTTATGAAAATTTTAAATAAAATTGATGATCAAAATAAAACCCATTAAAAGGAAAAATTTTAGTCAATCTTCGAAAAAAATTCTACACACACTCCATTATATAAGCGACAAAAAATGTGTTTACACTACATATGTTTTTAAAAACACTCAGATTTCATACAGTTTCGCAATAATATCAAATTTTTCTAGTGCTAAACGAATTCAAAATACAAAGTTACCTATAATGCTTCTTTGTTGGTGATAAATGTTAAATTTAATATATTTTAATACTAATGTGTACTCATTGACACCTCCGAAAAAAGTTACATTAAACGATCTGAACAAGAATGTGCAGACACTTAAAACTGTTCATAAATTAAGTACCAAGTACTTTTACACAATAGAATCAATAACAATTCCAAGTATAATTAAATGCTTTTATTAGATACTTAGGAAAGATTTATTAATTGTTACCTTCTTAAATACCCAAAGAAATAGAAATACTCATACAATTATGCTTTGATAATTGTTTTTAAAAACTCATATATTATCAAATACGCCGAGTTCAATTACTTTTTTATTTGTTTAGAATATTTACAGATTTACTCGTGTCTACAGTTTGTGCTAACGTTTCGAACTAGTTACAGGACTTATCTTCGGAGCAATAGTTACACTTCGAAGTAGCCCAACTAGTTCTTTAATCGGTAACGATTCATAACCGATAACGTAAATACGATTATTTTTTTATTGTTGTTGATAACAAATGTTAGGTGTTGTTTTCGACATTCTTGTCACTTTACTCTTATTCTTCTGCACCGGTAATTTACAAATATTTCGAATATGGTATTTTCACATATTGTGTTGGTGTTATTATTATTTGGTCTTCTTTTTTCATGGTATATAACAGGTAACCAAGTCTTGCTAATTTTTCATCCGTATTCTTTCAATTTCTATTCTCTCTTTATACATCCGTTTACCAAAATGAGATTCTTTATTCATAACTTTGACCAGGTCAAAATGAATTTTGAATTCGCTGTTTTTGGTGTATTCGACTTTCACGGATTTTTTCATCTTTGGTAGTCTACGTCTTTTTCATGTTCTTTTATTCTTATTGCAATTTCTCTTCCTGACTATCCAACGCCATATGAACACGGTAATTCATAGACACTTAGTATTAGTATTTCTGGTAATTCGTCCCCTGAAAGTTTCAGCGAAAAGAAAACACAAAAAATCAACAATTTTACTAAGAACTGTTTTTATAACAACGTAACTAAAATCAATTTTTAAGGGTCATTAAGTTCTATAAGCATCGACAAGTTAATTCATGCATACAATTTCATGTATTGTTTTTATAGTTAAACAAGCTTAGATGGTGACTTATAATGTTTTGGGAAAGTTGTTCTGCGTACAAAATCTTCGTGTTTTCTATTAAATAAAATAATTTTAAAAATGCATTTCATATCATAATGAGACTTCAAAAATTGTTTAATTAAAAATAAATTAATTTAACAAAATAGTTCATATAATATTACAAATTCACTATTGAATATTTAATGTTGTGGTAATTTTAAGAATATATATTTTTTCGGTGTATTAGAAGTAAGTTGTAATACATATTTACTTAAAAAATAAATATTTATTATACTTCTTACGACTGAAATTGTTCGTTTATAACTTAAAAAAAAAGATGAAAGTCGGCGAATTAATGATAGCTCAACGAGGTGATATTTCAGCATAAAGAACATTGTTTATTATTTTCCATTTATTTAAGTTTAAATTTATTTACAATATACTAAGAAGCTATTTGAATTAATTATATTTATTGGTACTATTTAAAAAACATCGGTCAAATAATTAAAAAAAAGAACGAGTGAAGTTATAACTTTTCAACTCAATAACAGTTCCACTGTTAAATTATTATAAACAATGAAGTTATAACTAAAACTTTATTGAGCGAAAATTAAGAAATAATTGTTGTTGGTATAATATTAATATTGTTTAATCGTTTTTAAAGTTTATTTCTGTTTTTAAATGAAATTTCAAAAAAGAACAATAACATTTTATTCTAAATGAAAACTTAATTAAACATTTCTAAAATTAATAATTACGTTTCACACCAACCACAAAATCATTTACATTTTGAAGTTGTTAAATTGTCACAAAGATACGTAAAATGAAAGCTCAATTTTAGTGAATAATTCCAAGTTGACTTTATTGTAATATTATTACTTTTTGGTTATTATATTATACAAATATATGTTATTGAAAACTTATCATGTGTATAATGACATTTTTCGTACCAGTGAATTGCAAACGGATTTTCCCAATAGATACCAAAAAATGAAATGTACACATATGAAATAAAATACAATAATTATAAATAAAATTCATAAAAAATTTGTTTCGGATAGGGTATGAAATATACGGCGTAATACATTATTTTAAAAATCATACATGATAAGCAAACATTGAGTTACTACAATTATACAATTTGTTTAGATTATTCCCTTCAAAATAATTTATTGAGCAGCCCACAAGTGATCGTTACCGATTCTTTTGTTTTAAAAACGTATAAATCAAATCCACACCATAATACATTAGGTACAATTAAAATTAACGACACCGGAGAAATGAACTTGGTGTTCGTTATTATCATTAATGTATTTTTTAATTGTCGACCGATCAGTAAGATTAATATTTTATTTTCTAAACGACGCATGACTTCCAAAAGCAGTCAGGATGAGACTGTCTGCTTGAAGAATAAGTATTATTAATTATACTCTATTGCTGGAATCTGCGATACGATCGCACGTCCGATGGTGAATAATATACATCAAGATGAGTATAACAGCTGGTTTAAGTATAAAATATATTACACACTGTCACTACTAAAGAGGCGTAAGATGGTTCGATAGAGATCCTGTTGCCCCGGCCGTCGACGGCAATAGCAAAGGAAATCGCCGTTCGACTTAACGCTGATAATTATTATAAGCACTTAATACAGCTCCGAGATGTATTCATTATAAATGTAATAAAAAAAGAGACGTCTAGTGTCGTGCAGTACTGCGTTATGGTATTGTAACCAACGGAATTCTCTCAAGTTCATCACCGCCGTTGACGTTTTTTAGAATCACCCGGTCACTTGTTAATGTATCTAGGCGTTGATTGAAATTATAAAACGATGAATGGATGACTAATTAATTTTACTTGATTATGATAGTGTTTAGGCGTGCGCATTACGCCAGTGATATATTAAACACAGACGTGTGTGCAAACACACAGACAATCGAAATCAAATTTATTCATCCCACGTCCGAATGCTGTATTATTGATTTTTTTATTATTATTAGAATATTCATCGTGACGATATTACCACGACGTGTATTGCAAAATTTTTGGCGAAATGTTAATTTTTATTTATTTATTTAATACAATAGATTAATTATTTTGCGGTAAAATATTATAATTTCTCCCGGATCTGCACAAAAAATGTTTATATTGGCACCGATTCGGCCATTATAATTCTATGATATCGATTCTATGTGAACTCTTTTGTCTCGTTCGTGTTTAAGTCATAATTACTAATCCGTAATCTGTGTATAAATTTTGAGCAGCCAATAATCACATTACCAACCTCACGATTGCCGTGCACGTGCCAATAAAAAAGGTACTGTAATTGAATTATGTATCTCGTTAATTGGTCACCTACGGATTTCGTTAGAAACCCTTTCATACCGTACCAGCTCATACTTTATGCATTCATTTCACCGGTATAAGTTTTGTCTTTCTACTGGGTAATTCATTATGCCAATAGACGACCTGGTCCATTTTAACACTGTAAGTATTCTCTTTCTCTATTTGTCTGTCCTAATCTATCTACTGCTTGTTATTATACCCTCGAATGTTCAATGAATGATTTCACTTGAATGGATCATATTAATCGCGTCTAATTGGCCAGATGTGCATAGTTTGCTAAAAAGAAAACGACGAAGATTAAATGAATTTTATTTTAAATATTAAATTTTTAAAAAAGGATACAATTATAGTAATAATAATAATACATACGGTGATCGTTTAAAGCGGCAAAAGCCGGTGTACGTGAGCGGAACTTAAAACCTCGGCAATAGCTTAAAAACAGCCAGAGGAAAAAACTCAAATCGAAAATAATATATTTAGTGTGTGGTATGATTTATAAATTTGTGCTGTGGTTTTCTTTGTAAGAGGGCAGTGTTCGGTCATTTCAGTGGTCGTTTATAGTGTCTGCACGAACACACTATTTAGTGCACATACGGTGCATAACAACAGCTATTTTAAAAGGAAGACGGCCTTTGGAAGGCGGCAGTAGATTAACCAACAACTAAAATATGTCAACTTTATTCTTGAGCTTTATTTATAATTTTTTATTATTTTTTTCAGACCGTACAATTCACCGTCTTATGGATACTTTTTTTGTCCATTGTCTTGGGCAACGGAGCTGTACTCGTGGCATTATTGTTCAACAAAGCACGCAAAAATCGGATGAACTTTTTCATCATGCACTTGGCTCTAGCTGGCGAGTGCAACTGATCATAAATATTATAAACATCAGCTCATTAAGTACTTTCTCATCTAAGCAAGTGCGGACTGAAAGTCCTGTTCCCGAATTTCAAAACACCTCAATGAATCAAATGATTTTATAATAAATATTTATGACTAAGGCCAGACATTCCAAAAATGATTACCGTTTTATAAAATAAAATACTAGTTGCTCGTAAACCAGCAGCTAGTGTTGATTGAAAAATTCTATTCATCAGCTTCTAATAATAAATTTGCAATAAATTAATCTAATTTTGTTGATTTTAACGCTTCTCGCTATCAAAACTTTTAAATAATCCATACGTAGTATTTATATCACAAAGTTCGGTTTCTTAAGAAAGTTATCAACAAAAACCTATTGATGTTGAGTTTTTTAAAAAACTGCAGAATAAATTATAACCAAAAACTTAATTTCACGAAATGTATATTTGTTTTAAATTTATTTTACGCACTTAAAGAAAATTACCTCAATAGTTTTAAAACCAATTTCAAGAAAATTGAAAACGTTGAAGGTTTATGTATATGTATTATCTTAAGTAGCTATTAAAAGTTCAGAACGGTTAAAATAATGAATTAATTATAAAATATTTTCGCCATTTTATGTAAATGTGTGTATACAAAGTACCACTTAATGTGCTGAAAACGGAAATAGCTCTTACGTTATAATACAAAAGAGTTTACAGGTTAGATACTTCTTACCATATGAGTAGTGTCGCAATATAAGCCGAACTTCAATTTAAGTCTAACAATAATATCAAAATGACACTTTTGTATAAATCATATCATAATGAAATCATAACAATTACAAATATTTATATCTAACGTATACAATTAGCACATCGTATATCTTTAATGAAGTAAACAAAATTGTTCCAATCGTTACGATTTTTTAAATCACAGACAATGATGATTTATTAATATACCTATTTATTATTAAATTTATGATCCTATTGTTGAACTATAAAATTAAAGCAAAATTTTAGTACATATTACATACAAACTGATATTCATCAAAATAAAAACATTTGTACATTCTTGTTTACCTAATATTACAATTTTCAATCTCAATAATCTTATCAAAATCATACATCGTAACGATTTTCCTGAAAATACCTTCATTTTTGAGCTAAATTTCTTTCTAAATTTTATACTAGACATTTATATCAACTGTTCAATAATATTAATCACTGCAGTGTTCAATTTTAATTTCCACGTTTATTATTTTGTATTCAAACTTAACGCAACATAAAAGCAACGAAAATATCACAAATTAAAAAGTAAAGTAAATATTTATCAAATGAAATTGATAATATAAATAAAGATTTATAATACACCAAACACGCATACTAAAAATAACTGCACTGTGACAAAAATCTAGTGATTTATGTCGTTTTATTTTTAAGTATAATTTTACAAATAGTCAATTACGATAGTTTTATTTTTAGTCTACACCTAATAAGTGTTTGCTTCCATAGACATTATTAGACTTCATAGATCCCTTTCTGTATAAATTGGCGTGTACATTTAGATCGATTATGAATTTGTCTATTTTTTCTAATTACCATTTATCAAAAATAAAATATTTAATCAGTGTATCTAAAACGATGATAATAATCGAATTTTTTTAAAAATCACTGATTGTCATACCTCGAGTATTATAAATTATGATTTCTTTTTTATTTAATTTTTTTACAATCAAAATTAGGAGTTCGTTGTAATTTTTTAAGAGTATTCATCTTGAGAACTTGTTAAAATCCTATTAGCATACCTTAGTTGTGCAAAAATTATCAACATTTAGATCCATAAAAAAAAGCATATTATTGACAATTTAACATTTTTCCGCAACAACTAAATAATTGTTTTTATGAGAACTAGAAACATTATCGTTACTATAACATTATTTATTAAAACACAATATTATAGTAAGTACGGCCGAACGACAGGAAATGGAGGCTGCAAGATTTGAATAAACTATTTTTGTATACAAAATCACAGGGTTGTTAAAAAATATTGAAAAAACACACCTGTTTAAAACATAAGTAAACAGTTTAAAACGTTCCATAAACCATTTTAAACATGTTTAAAATACTGTTTTAAACACGCATTGTTAAAAACGTAACAACTCTGAAACATACTCAACATCAACCAAAAAAAAAAAATCATACGGTTTTCAAAAATATCTCCCGTAATTAAAAAAAAAACAAATTTTGTTACAAGTATTCAATACAGAAATATTGAATTATTGTGTATTTACTAATTCCTACTAGTAATAAATTCATAAAAAAAATTATTTCATCACGAGAAGGCTAAGCATATTTTTAAATAAATAATAATAAATAAAAAGTTTATAACACATTTTTAATCGGTTTCCACGTTGCTATGTAATATTTTGAAAAAAGTTAAATTTTCAAAATTAATTAAGTTATCTGGTTTTTGCAGATATCCCTTAAATGTCCTTTTTACATAAAAAAAAATCTTAATATAATTGAAATTCGGACATCACTAAGTTATAAGATCAGAAGACAGTAAATTCCCCTGATTTCCATTGGTAATAATCAATCGAAACTTATCATTAACTTTTTAAATAGATTTATTGGTTGGATTAGTCAGTGTAATGATTGATATGATATGGAGAACGACCGTGACTTGGACTGCTGGACCGTACGCATGCAAAATAGTCAAGTATTTACAGGTATGAATCCTTTATTATTGATGATAAACTAGAATTGAAATTATTCTAAAGAGTTCTGACTGATACGAACAAAAAAAATATTTATATAACCCGAATTATTTCCTAAATTAAAGAGGAACGATTAGGTTTAGACGATTTCAAGTGAACAATTTAAGAGCTGCTAAAATTGTCCTATAAAATGCCCATCTGTTTTTCTTCATCTCTCTCAATAAAGTAATTTTTCATAGGATTTATTTTTGAATCGACTATTTTCTTATTGGGACAATTATAGTTATGCTGATGTAATTAATTAGACTCATCCGAACCTTTTTAGAATTTTTTAAAATAAATTAACTTCAATTTACCAGCAAATATTTACTACGCGTTGGCCTAATTTTTTTTGCTTTTAAAATCTTTTTTAACAAATAGGAATCATAAACTAGTGACATTATTCTTATTTGCTTTGATGTTTTAAGGTTGTGGTAACGTATTCATCAACATACGTTCTGGTAGCTTTGAGTATTGATCGATATGACGCCATCACTCATCCTATGAATTTTTCTAGCAGTTGTGAGTAAAATTAATTTTGTTATGTTTATTTTTATCGTTTAATAATAACAAAAATTTTATAGGGCGTCGGGCCAAAGCATTAATTGCTTGTGCGTGGATATTGAGTTTTTTCTTTGCAATACCGAGCATATTTATTAATGAAGAGAAGATAGTCGAAGGTACATTTTTTACTAAACATACAAAACTTGCAGTATTGACCGTCATTTTAATATTTTATCAAAACGATTATTAATGTGTCATTTTTATTTAATTGCTATAAAGACAAAATTAAAAATAATATGCTTATGGTGAATCATTGGTTTACAGAACTCTATTGATTGTTTTCCTAACATGATTGAAAAATTCAATATGCATTATATAATATATAATATATATAATATGCCTAATTCAATAATATATTATATTATTGAATTAGGTATATTGATCAATATATTTATAGACATAAACAATATTTCTTTCATTAATGAGTTTATAAAAAAAGAGTAGCAACTAAATTTAATAAATACACCTAAAAGGAGTACTTCTTTTACCATAATTAATCAAAAAAAATAAAAATTATGATGTGCGAAATCGTGTCAAGTGGAAGTTTAGGATAATGGTGGCCTCGGGCGAGAAAAAAAAAGTAGAAGAATCAAAAACTAAAAATAGTATTGATAGTTGAATTATTTTTTTTTAGTTTTAAATTTTTCTTATTTATGATACATAATTTTCTCAACTTATCAATTATTTAAGTATTTTTTATACTCATCCCTTATACCCCATATAGAAGTATCAAATTTGATTAAGATATTAATATTTTTATACCACTGCGAGAAGATGAGTAATGCGGAGAAAAAAACTATTGATATACTGATCCAAGAGTTATTATCGACCAGTAATTTTCGCAATTAGATCTTTATTTAACAAATAAGTTTGTCAATTTTATGTATATTCCTATTTGAAAAAATAACGCTGGCACCTTTAAAAGGTATAAGGGTTAAACATGAAAAATACTTCACGAGTGTTAAATCGAAAAAAATATGTAACAATGAGAAAACTTTATGACTAAAAGAAAACAAAAACGTTTATCGATATTGCTGTTATTTTTCGATTGAAAAAGTAATTCCGTGACACAAGAATCACTGTGCACAATAACACACTTCCAGTGCCGAGACATTGTAATATTAAAAATAATGGTTTATGATTAGGCCGAACACAATGTTGGATTGATATGTTGCCGTGGCAATGGCAATTATACATTAGTATAGTGGCAACTACTGTATTCGTCGTACCGGCCATTATAATAACCGGCTGCTATACAATAATCGTCTACACAATTTGGTCAAAGAGCAAACTTCTGTCGCCGGCCAAGAGCAACACACTTCATCGTGGAGATAAGAGTAATACTTGACCAAACACAGCTACCGTATAATTCTATGTTTATTTTTTTTTTTATAGAGCCGGAGGAACATGACATACGTCGATCCAGTTCCCGAGGCATAATTCCAAAAGCAAAAATTAAAACCGTCAAAATGACATTCGTAATCGTTTTTGGTGAGTATTAAATGTACTAGCTGTTGAAAAGTACACGTCTTATCGGTAGTTGACGTTTAATTTAAACATCCTTCAGTTTTCATTCTTTGCTGGAGCCCATACATATTGTTTGATTTACTGCAAGTCTACGGATACATACCCAGATCGCAATCAAACGTCGCACTCGCAACATTCATACAAAGTTTAGCGCCACTTAACTCTGCTGCCAACCCCATCATATATTGTCTATTCTCAACACACATCTGCAGATCTCTTAGGTAATAATGAATATTTTTTTATATGCACAAAACATTTTCCAATATATCCGCTCATGAACCGATCAACTATGTAATACCCAGTATTGCTAGTCTTGAATAATCATTGTTAATAAAACACTATCAGGAGTATTGATGGTTACTAAACAAACATGCAAACGATTATAGTTTTTAAAATATAAAATAAAATAAATTCAGCCAGTCTAAATAAATAACAATACCGAGCTATTTCATTATCAATTAACAACATTTGTAATATTTAAAAATATTGATCAAATTTAAAAAAAATATATAAATGATTAATAAATATATTTTAATTAATAAAATTAAACTCGATAATAATTCTAACATCACCTAACAAGTAGAATGTATTATGTGCAGTATTTTAATTCGAATATAAAAAAAAGTTATAGTTTAAAAGTTCAACTTATGTCTATAATATATTTGGGCAAAAATCATAAGAATTGATTAAACATGATATTTTGGATCAAAATTTCACATGGATTATTGTTAACACATTAAAAATCAAAATCAATAATAATAGTTGAAATAATACAGTTACACAGTTTAAGTTAATGGGACATAAGCACCACCTGATTGAAAATACTATTTGCGCCCTTGACGTCGTGCGTATGTGTAATTATTTACACGTTGTGTACATTTTTTATGAGAATAAAAAAAATATGGGTATTTTTATTCTAAATAATACACATACACGAGAAGGGCAGTAATATTGTTAAGAACTCGTAACAACCATAACAAATGATAATAATTGGTTTTGACTTTTAATTCCGTACTGTCAAATATAGCCGACAATAAGCTGATGTATCGAACGCATTATATATAAATAAAAAAAAATAGAAACTCTCAGAAATAGCATAGAAACAACTTTACGTTGTTTGTAGGTAACAAAATACCAACTAATAAAACTAAAAGTACTAATAGGATAACAAAAAAAAGATAATTTTTTTATTTACCTAGATAAATGCACTAAGTGATTGTACAGATGTCCCACCGTGATTTACTTAATTTGGCTATATAAACTAATGGAGTTCGTTAACGATATCAAAATTGCCGAATTTTTCCATTTTTCACACGATATCGATTATTTTTAAAATATCGTAATAATCGAAAAAAAAACTGTTTGAATTTTGGTCACTTTATATAACTTTTATTTCAAAATTTATTATCGGTTTAAAGTTAAGTAAGACGCGGGTGTTACTATTGTTATCACTAGTCATTTTCTGGCCGTACTCTTTCTCCAGCCTATGTATAAAAATGGCAACACCTGCCAAAATCTGGTCCAAAAAGTTGTTATCGATCGGTTATTTTCTTAATTAGGCATAATCTATCAAAAAAACTAATTAATTATGTTTGTTGCCAATTTGAAAAAACAAAGTTGAGTAATCCAAATGAGGGATAAAGAAAAAAAATATGTATGATTGATGAATTAAGATAAACATGTAGCAAAAAGAAACCAAAAAAAAATATTTTCATTATCATATTTAATTTTCGACTAATTAAGTGATTTACAATAAATGAATCGCCTCGTATTTAAACAAAAAGATAATTTAACTCACATAATATCATTAAAAATATAATATTATTTTTTTCTTTTCTGAAATAGTATCCTACGTTCTAAAAAAAATATTTTTAATTTAATCTGCTTTAGTTTTTAAAATGGAAACATATATTTATCTAACTTACAAGATTAAAACTAATCTATCTAAGAAAATTACTGAACGACAGTATCTTTTAAACTAGCATTATAAAAGACATTAGGATTTTTATAGTGGAAGGAGTAATGCGATTCATTATTTTTTACAGATCCGCATTTAACCTCCAGTCTTTATATTAAAGAGTTGATAACTTCCAAGATACTGGTCTAAAAGTTGTTATCGACAAGTCATTTTTAGTTTGGTTTAAATTGGTTAAACGTATATATTTCTATAAGTGTTAGTGAGTGAGACATGTGCTTCTCACCTCTCGGAGGAAACGACGAGAGGCGAGTGGATCTGATCCCTCATAGGACCCGATCGGCTGGACAGGTGGGTGAACCGGACTCACGGTAAGATGACTTATCGTCTCGCCCAAGTGATGTCCGGCCACGGCTGCTTTAACGAGTACTTGCATCGTATTCGTAAAGCAGGCGCGCCGACGTACGACCACTGCTCGGATCACTCGGGAGAGGCTGACAGCACTCTGCACAACCTCTGCCGGTGCGAGGCATGGGCCCAGAAGCGGGACACTTTGGAGTCCCGACTAGGGTCCACGTTCCGAGTCGGGTCTATGGTGGACCTGATATTGAGGAGACGGGAGGTATGGAGGGTCGTCCAGGAGTTCGCCGAATCCGTCTTGAAAAAGAAGGAGGAAGCGGATTGCCTGAGACAGAGGCAGCCATGACGACCGGCGCAGGAAGATCTAAGGCGCTAGTTTAGGCCGGTCCTTTAGGTTCTTATTTTCGTGTTTTATGTTTTGTTTTGCGAGTTATTTTCCCAACCCTCCCTAATGGTTCCCACTCTGGGATTCGGCTAATGGGAGCACGTTGCGAAATAGCTCTTGATTAATTTCATATAATTAATAAATTACTTAAAAATTACAAAGTTTAACTTGACAATCTTTTCACAAAAAAAACTATCCACTTATAATTATAACTAATTATAAGTAAAAAAAAAATAATAATATTTCAACTATATTACAAATAAATTAATTTAAACTACAATTTTGATGTTTTTTTTTTCTATTGAAGGCAAGTTCCACCATTTAAATGGTTACTGTGTTGTCGAAATTCTACTCAAGAGCAGTTGAGTTATACAGAAACATTGACTTCATCTAATCGACAAGTGAATACATCACTTTTACGAAATGCTACTGTACATGTCCATTCTGTAGTCAGAGCTCCAGTTTTAAATCGAATGGGTATTTCAACAGAAAAAAATAACTATGCAGATTCTCTACTGTAAATTTTCTTCTGCAAATTGATTTACTAAATTTATAAAAAACAAATAACATATTTATTACCATTTTAATATTGTTATTTGAGCTATTATTATAACTATATTTATTATAATGCAAGCATAAGATAAGTTATATCTTATGACTGACCTACCCCAATAGAATAATCTATGTACAGTTATGTACTTATTCCATATTCCTATTGACCTCGATTCCTATTTGTATCTATGTTCTTCATAACTATTTTAAGTAAATAATTATAAGTGTTTCAAAACTATTGAAAATTATAATGATAAAAAATAATTATAGTATAATTAAGTTATAAATAATTATATTAGTAATTTTATTTACAAATTATTTTTCTTCAAAACCTAACAGGTAAAAATGAATCAAAGATTTCAAACATCATTATTTTATTCAAAAAATAAAAATGTTTATAAATTATAAAATGCAATATACTAAAATCTAATAAGAAATACAACTTTATACTTAGTAATTTAATTAAATAATAAAACACCTTCTGAGTTACTATATTAAAAATGAACTTTTCATTTTACATAATTTATAGTTGGCCACTTTTTTTTTCAATAATAACATCCTTTAGTTCATTCATTCTTTTTTCTGTAATACTATAATTGTATCGGCATAAAATCCTGTAAGATTTAAGTATTTTTTAATTCTCATCATGATATTAAAATAATATTATACAATTAAAGTAGACTATAATACAAACTATATATAGGATACTATATATAGTAACTATAACTATACACTATTTCTTTTTTTATGAATGGCTAAAAATCAAATTTAGAAATAATCATGCAAACAAATAATTTTTAAAGTAATTAAAGTTTTGATTTGATAATTATTCAACATAACCAAAAAACAATATTTCATGAATTTTAAATCAAAATGTAAACAAATATTTATATGATATGATTTTTTCTTTATTATATACAATTATACAATAAATAAACATTAAATTTTAGAATAATTCATATTAAGGTATAATGAAAAATTTTAATACATTGTTGGTCTGGTGATAAAACTCATTTTTTTTTTTCAATATTATTTTTACTATCATTTAATATAGACTGTGTTTAAAGTGTTGTGTTTCACATTATTTTAGATAAATCGATAAAATATACTACTGCAGCAAATTTAAAAAAATAATTATGATAATAACTGTTAATGAGTTTCCATACCAAGCTGACAAAATATTGTAAAATTTCAATATAAAATACTGACCAATATGAAGTTGATATAACAAAAAAAGATCCAAAACCAACATTAACAGCCTTTTTTGGTTTACTTGTTAACATAAAGCATCCCAATCCACTTGCTATTCCTCCCAGTATACCATAAAAATAGCTATTACGGAAACAAGGAATTTTTGATACATCCTTACCTAAAAACATGAATGGCTGAAAAAATAATAATAAATAAATAATATAATTTATAATAATGATTTAATAAATAATATTGTCTTTAACTAACTAAAAAATATCTACTATTCTCACTAATAATTGTCTAAATTGACTATAATAGTAAAAAAATCTAATAATAAGCCTCAACCAATCAGGCTAGATAATAAGTCCATAGTTTATATTAAACTATTTAGAAGTTCTAGTTTAATTTGATTTATTTAAATGATTGATGTATAGAGAAAAAAAAGGACTAAAATAAATAACATTGCTATAGTAAATGAATGTATAAAATATTTTTTTAATAAGTCAGATAAATTAATAGCACAAACATGCTATTCAAACAATAATTTTTATAAACATAATTTTCTTACATGACAATAGTGGTAAAAGAGCTAAAGTAACACAAGTCTCCAAAATTCATGAGATACCCTATTTTTTTTTTTTTACTAAAAAATAAACTTTAACAGCTCCCCCCTAAAAAAAAGGTATAAATATACACCTACCATAAGCATAACAAAACAAAGTAAGTCATACACTAATAAATAATTATAACTACACTATGATCAGACATGTAGTTGTTTACATAAATCACAAAACAATATCATAAAACAAATTAATGTGACAAAAAGAATTTTTATTTAACATTTATTTTCATACATCCTTTAAAAAATTATTTATCATATCTAATAATGTTATAATAGTATATTTTAAATTGAGATTTACTATAAAACTTAATTAAATTAGTTAAACTAGTTAATTTAACTTAGTTTATTAAGAATTAGATAAGTCTACGTAGAATTATCTAATCTAATAGAGTTTTATAAAACAACTATTAAGTCAAGAGTATTAAGATTTAAAAATATATTACCTACAATATAAATTTGCTTGAACAACGTAACAATTAGGCAAGGCGAAAAACAGGGTAAAATTTAACGATTTTCTATATTTAATTACATAAATTCACAAAGAAAATAATATAACAAATCTCGTTATCGATTCATCAAAGTTTGATTAAGTCTAATTTACATTTTATAGCATAAAATAATTATAGATTAAATCACTATTAAAAAAAAAAATTGCAAGTAACATTTTTAAGGAATCGCATTATGTATACACAGAGTGAGTCTTTTTTCTTTAATCCTTAATTAATAATAAAAGTAAAATTAAATTCCTTTTCTTTAGTATTGTTGACACCTTTATCAAGTAAAAGAAACATGTAAAAATACATCATAATAATAATCAATTATTGATGTTGAGAAAAATATGTAGCAAAAAAAATTATTAACATTTTTGTTAATTTTTCAATAAAGAAATGATTAATTATACAATAATAATATGTATATTCACTGTTTTGTTGTGATAATTAATTCTAATTGCTGTTAAATGTATCAAATTACTGCATTTACCTTATGATCATCGTCATTTGAAACTGTTGCCATTTTTAAGATTTTTCTGTTTTTAATTTAAGCTAATTTTTAAACTGTTTTATTGAATCATATAGCTTATTTTAATTGAAATTTACATAGAAATCTTTGAATTACATTATGTTTAAACTAAAATTATTTAATAGACTTAAAATTGTATAACATTTTAAAATCTCTTATCATTATTTTTATCTTATGACATAGATAAGGTAAAATCTTATCTGTGATAATGATGACATTATCTTTAACTATTACAACTAATTATATCTTAAAAATATTAAGAGTAGATGTTGCGGCGTACAGTGTAGCTCGATATTTCGCCGAAATCGTTTTCAATATTTCTTTAAATAAATTCGCTAACACGTGCGAACCAATTTTATTATGCCGGCTCTCAATGTTTGATTTGTTATTACTTTTCAGAATTTTTTAACACGCTTATATTAGTTTCACTTGTATGTTGTGTGTTTGTTTGTAAATCTCCACCAGCCACGTGTTATTATACTCCCGTACCCCGTCGTCTATGGCCTTGAGACTAGACGCCGTAACGCATTCACCCCACCCTGCTCACCTATAGACAATAACAATATTTCCTGTAAAATTTTATTTTTGGTTTTCGTAACCGTACACGAGTGACTGTCATTAATTATATATATATAAACAAATTTTTATTTTGACTGACCAATACCGCCCGCGTCTAATGCGCCTTACGTATATATATTTATATATTCCTACCGCCTCTGACGCCGTTTATACCTTAGGTATAACGTTCCCCCGACCACAAAACAAGGCTGTACCTAGTGCATGATACGTTTACGTACTTATGTCGTCTTACTATGTATGTATGTATGTATGCGTATATATATATATATATACACATACATATATATATATTCCTACAGCCGCCGCAAATGTCTCGCGTACATCGTTCCCCCGTGCCCTGTCTGCCCACAAAACACTGCTATACCTCGTGCATGATACGTTTACGTACTTAAGTCGCTTTACATGTATATATATATTCTAATTACTATTAACAATATATATAAACACGCTTTATTCTCATTAAGAGATATAGTGTGAATTCATTCCGATTACAAAGGATGATTCCCGTATCGTCATTTTTCGTCACTATCACCATGATCCGGGAGTGGGTAATTCACGCGCCTGCTGCTTTTTTTGGATGTGGTAGCCGTTCTCAGACTTCCTCCCCGGAATCGAACCCTGATTTCCCGTTACCCATTACAACCATAATATTGATAGTAACTAATATAATAACATGAAACTAAAAAGTGAAAAATAAATATAGTTTTAAAAAACTAAAAAAATACGCTTTTAAAGCACATCGAACTAAAAAGTTAAAAATAATTTTTAAAATAAGCTTAAAACAATAATGAACGAAAAATACTAGTATTATTGTGATAAAAGCGTCGGGCGCTCAATATACGAAAAATATGGCACAAAGCACCCACGCTTTTATCACAATAATACTAGTATTTTTCGTTCATTATTGTTTTAAGCTTATTTTAAAAATTATTTTTAACTTTTTAGTTCGATGTGCTTTAAAAGCGTGTTTTTTTAGTTTTTTTAAACTATATTTATATTAAATATTGTTCCTGATGACAATATAATATCTTAATTTCTTCCATTACTAGTGAATAAAAATATCATACCAAGCCCTTAGATTTTATTAAAAAAAAACATAAATGTATCCCCAACTGTACTTTATGTGATTAGAGTGAATGAAGCAAAACCAATATTGTCGTATCTACTGCAGCACTGCTTGTTGCGAGTTGTACGAAATATTATCAAGCATTTTGAGTAAAATTATTATTAAAGTGTGGTGTTTTACTTGGTTTTTTTAAATGGGTAATAAAAATAATAAAAATATATTTTCTAATAAAAAAAAATTACATGTCCATTAGTTCTAAAAAGATATAACAAAAATTTAAATTAAGTATATTATTTATTGATGTAATAGTGATCGTCATAATTCATTCAGATCCATAAAAGAGCAGATAGACGATTCTTCATTGACAGGGAAATATAAGATAGTGTCTCAACTAAAAATTTTTTTCGCTTCGCAATTCATCGCTGTTCCTGTGCTCATTTTTAATATATTCAAGATTTTTTAGCTTCGATGCGAAACTGAGAAGAAATTAATTTTACTATGACATGTTTTTTTTGTGCTGTTGCCAACTTTTCTCAGCTTTTACTGGACCGATTTTAATGTCAAAAGATTACAAATCGAATGTTGTTGAATACATTACTCTCAAAAATTGAAAACATTAACCCCGTTCTTCATAAATTGAACAAATCTCAAAAATAATTATGACTTTTGAAATCGACAAATGTCAACATTTTTCATACTTTTTTGATAATCATTTTGACAGTCATAACTTTTTGAAAAATAAATAGATCAAACAAATTTTTTATTAATTATATCTTAGATATATCCCTTTCATTTGGTGTATTTTATTTGAAAACATAAGAAATATTTTAAAATGCGCCTTTTTTTTGAAAAAATAACTTAAAATAACAGTTATATTAATCATTTTTTTATAGTTGTAAATTACGAACAAATGAGTTATTAAATATTGTGTTTATTTAAGTTCAAATATGTTCAGTAAACATTTTTCAGTGAGTATAAAAATTAAAAATGAAGAAAAACATGTGAAATGGTAAGTAAACGTGAACTGATAGGCTAGACGAACTACCGGGAAAATCTCAGTGAGCCCCCTCGTAAATATATGGGCCTACATTATATGATAGGTGTAGTATCTTCTAGATAGTTCTAATACTATGATATATAATACTATAAACAATATATCAAACACAAAACAGTAAGTAAAATATTTACACTAATACGACACTGAGTTTTTCTTGAAAAAATTAATGAGCAAAAAAGAAAAAAAAAAGTAGCACAGTGAGGTCACGGCACAGTATGGACGTGGCATAGTTGGGACAAGTACAGATGATATCTGAGAGTGATTATAAATCATTATCATAAGAAACGCTTCGATGAAAATCTGTAGATAGTGTTTAATTTAAAAAAATTGGTTATTAAAGAGATTATTTCAAAAACAATAATAACTATTATTCCCTTATTTTTATACTGATTAGTTATTTGATTTTTAATTATTATATATGAATAAATAATAATTTTATTAATTAAATTTAGTATGAAATTAATATTCAATAATTTAATATTGTAATTTTCACGGAGATATTATAAAAATAATAAAGTAGTTGTATATTTCTTTACTTTTAACGCGTATAAAAATTTAAAGGGCTTGCGAAATACTTTTCAATAAAAAATGTTTGTTACTTATAATAAAGTTTTATATACTGGACTACAAGGAATTTTATTCAATAACAAAAATGTACTTTTTAAATCAACTTTTGGCGATGTTTTCAGAATATGCAATTAAACTTTTTCTATCACTTCTAAGTTTTAATATTATTACTTATTATTAAAAAATAAGTATTTCATATAAAAAAATATTGTAATTTATACGGAGAAATTCACTTATTCGTGTATAAAAATTTAAAGGGCTTGATGCAATATTTTTCAATAAAAACTAGTTGTTATATATATTAATGTACATGACTACAAGACATTATTACTAATTACATATAAAATAATAAAAAAAATTGTTTTCACATAATTACTGACTTTGATTTTTAATATGTTAAAAATAATCAGTCCAAAATTTCATTTTTAACCTATTCTTTTGGTCCTTTGATGTTGATGAAAAATCTTTGATAAAGTTTTGTGAAAGTTTATAGTGAAAAAAAAACACAGCACAGGGGGGTCGCGGCACAGTGGTTACGTGGTATAGATGGATCAAGTATAATGATATCTGACAGTGATTAAAATCACTATAAAAAAAAAAACGCTTCGATGCAAATCTTTAGATAGTGTTTAATTTTAAAAAATTGGTGGATTATTCCAAAAGCTACATGATCTGCTAGTTCATTATTAATATCCTAATTAAGATAAAGTATGTCGAATGAAAAGGGATTATTAAAAAATATTTCTCATAAAAAAATAATGTTGATCCATACAGTTTTCAATATTTTCAATTAACCAATACATATTACTTCTTTTTTGTTTTATTTGTTTTAATTTCATTTTAATGTGTATACTCCAGTTTAATTTAGAGTCTAAATGCATACCTAGATATTTTGCCGACTTTTCTTGTGGGATTAATTGACCATCAAGCATTATCGGGTTGGGCTTTGTTACTCTATTTGTAAAGTTCACGTGTACTGATTTTGAACTATTTAATAGTATCTTCCATTTTTTTGTCCATGCAAGGATACTATCAACATTTATTTGCAAATTTTTTGTGGCGATCGAAAGGTTTATATCACATGACAATATAGCTGTGTCATCAGCAAACATAGCTGTTATTGTTTTATTGTAGGTAGGAATATCAGATGTATAAAGTATATAAAGTATAGGCCCGAGGACACTACCTTGAGGTACTCCTGCTTTAATACCTTTCCATTCAGATACAGCTTCTTCGTGACTTACCCGAAACTGTCTTTCTACTAAGTATAAATCTAGTAGCCCACACCATGTACGAGGCAACTGCTTTTTCAATTTATATAGTAAGCCTTCATGTCAAACGCGGTCAAAGGCCTGAGAAACGTCGAGAAATACGCCACAGCAATACTTTTTTTCCTCCATAGCTCTACTAATTACGTTTGTAACGCGATGTACTTGATCTATGGTGGAATGTTTAGTACGAAATCCAAACTGGTGGTTAGGAATTAGTTGACGTTCTTGAATAATAGGATTCAATCTAGTGTAAAGTAGTTTTTCGAAAAGTTTCGATATTGTAGGAAGAAGTGATATCGGCCTGTAGGAACTAGTACTCTCAGGCAGCTTTCCTGGTTTTAATAACATGATGACTTGTGCTTTTTTCCAATTTACAGGTGCATATTCTATACGTAAGCAGGCATTAAATATGTAAGTTAATAAGATGATTGCTTTGCGAGATAATTCTTTAATTATACGCGGACTTATCCTATCATAACCCGGAGACTTTTTAGAGTTAAGGTTTTTATCTATCTCATTTGCAACTTCAAGAGGCGTGAAATATTTAATGCGATCTGTAGTTTGATCAGTGGTATCGTAGTTTAAGTACGTCGTGTTTAGATCAGATTGTATGTTGTTAGGT